TCATTGATATACATTCAAGACATGGCTGCATGATTAATTTTGCAGTCTGGGTGCATAATTTTTTGTCAGTGAGTGTATATAGAAAATAGAGAATACTTTCATCATTTCAAATCCTTATTATCAGCGAGATAAAAGAGGATGAAGTTATATTAAAGAATAAGTCTACTTTCTCCGAATAGTAACGTTGATAGACAAATAGCAATATAAAAGAAATTTTGTGGACATAGTAATGATGTAAGACGAAGATTGCAAACTTCATCAAACAAAGGATAAAGATAGATAAAGTTATATGAAACACACGCAACTTTTATTCTTTCTTTATAAAGTTAATTCCACTATTGTAATGTAGATGATTGCTTTTTTTATTCATTATATTTCCTGTAGTAAATTGTGCCGATATGAATTAATCTTGACATTTTGTTGAAAAAGAAAGGCAGAAATAGCTTTTCTTTAATAAAACTACTCTATCACATTTGAGTACTGCATCAAAACTCTAATAGAAATTAATACAATTCCTATGAATGTTGATTAAATATATTATATAAATAATAAATAATTGATTCAAAATCGTTAGAAATTTATTATATATTTAAAGAAATTCAGCAATGAGTTGTTTAAATTTCTCGATAATAACATATAAAACTGCATATGGTGACATCTGTTAATATATTTTATTTTTAAGAGTTTTTATATAATTAAAATGGCAAAAAGCATAATAATTTTGAGAATATGGATGAGTTTTATAAAATAAATTGTAAATGCTAACAGAGAGTAAAATTTTATTAAGTCCGACACATCTCGAGATACGACATATGTGAGAATCGGGGTTTAAGCATCAAAGCTTGAACCGTTTTCCGACATCGGGGCGGTGAGTCCCGCTCACAGGGTCAGTGGATGGCAATTTAGGAGGGCGAAAATCGAGTGGGAGGTCGCGGATAAGTCGATAAGGTGTTGACAGAGTACGAGTAAACACGCATGATTAAGATATAATATAAATTTAATTAGTATATATCATATAAAAGGGTTACAAATACTAAGAAATATAATAATGTCAAAATCAAACCGATATTACAATAGTAGGTTAGTCGGATTATATCTTGGGTATTTCGACTGAGGATAGTCTCTGATCCTCTTTAATATTCTTTTCGCGGAATTAGCCCTAATCCACCTGAGAGGAAAGAGAGAGTTCTACTTACTAAGTTGTAGTTCGTAGGATCTATCTGTGTCCGTCTTTGGTGGTCAGCGATGAGGATCGTTAATCCGTTAGTTCCTTCTAAGTTGGAGGCCACACCGATACTGGCCGGGAGCCCTCTTTATACTGATTTCAAGGGGGTGAGAACTATGACGTTATTCATGATTTATCCGCACACCTGCTAGTGTGTTGATATTTGGATCTAGCGAGTTCGGACAATTGACAGAGAAATTTGTTCAATTTATTGATATTGGTGTCAAGATGACATGATTTTATGTTATAAATTTCTGTAGGTTTGATGGCTCTCATCCATAAATTAACAATCATTTGACAATAATTTCTTTAACCTGGTCAACTATTTAGTTATTGTTTATATCAAACGTCGAGTTTGACTATGAACAAGGCGATTTATTGCCGTAACCACGTGTTACGTGCGACCAAGAGGTGATAAGAAATATCTCTTATTCCCTTCTTGTTGATACTAACGTCTATAGAATAACTGTTAAACAAATAGAAATGATTTAACTTATTGATAGTTTAACATTCTCCTTTTTTTTCCTTATTCGAGGAGAGCGTCTCGGTCATTGACCGTAGAAGTCCCCCTTTTCTCTTTTACTCGGAAAATTCCTAGATTTGTACTGATCTAAAACAGAAAAAGAGTTTCGGACCTTCACACATATGATCCCTTCTATCTCCTCATATTCTTGACCTTTAAATACCAAAATTTGAAAGTATCAATACCCTTAATTCACAAATCTCCCTACAAAATTTCAGAAATATTCGACAAAAATCACAGGAGTTATTAAGCTTCAAAATAGGTGAACAAAATCGTGCTCCCCCATACAAACATACAGTAAAAAACCTCGAATTATTTTTTGCATTTTAAGGTCTTCTGAGTCCAAAATGTAAAAATAGTAAAGGGTTATTTTTTTGACCAATCGCCATACTTTTCCTTCTGTTATATATAACAGCCAAAAAAGGAGAAATCTTTACATTCACGTTGTATAGATAAGCTATTGATAACAGAGCATTACTTAAAAATAGTAAAATAAACTATGGCCGGCGTAAATTACATTTTTAAAAAATTGTATGAATACAAAACGACATATTCACAAAGGTAAAAAACCTCGCTTCTGTCTATCTTTCCGCCGTTTCTACACCATCAGCAATCCTTAAAAACAATTCACAAGTTTCCGAGACGACCTTCCTTTTTAGGCTACTGTTTCGGCAAAAAATGTAAATATAGGTAAAGCGTCCTCTGGTGTTTATTAGCCATTTTTCACAATATCACATTTTAAGTAAAAATAGTAAAATAAACTATGGCCGGCGTAAATTACATTTTTAAAAAATTGTATAAATACAAAACGACATATTCACAAAGGTAAAAAACCTCGCTTCTGTCTATCTTTCCGCCGTTTCTACACCATCAGCAATCCTTAAAAACAATTCACAAGTTTCCGAGACGACCTTCCTTTTTAGGCTACTGTTTCGGCAAAAAATGTAAATATAGGTAAAGCGTCCTCTGGTGTTTATTAGCCATTTTTCACAATATCACATTTTAAGTAAAAATAGTAAAATAAACTATGGCCGGCGTAAATTACATTTTTAAAAAATTGTATAAATACAAAACGACATATTCACAAAGGTAAAAAACCTCGCTTCTGTCTATCTTTCCGCCGTTTCTACACCATCAGCAATCCTTAAAAACAATTCACAAGTTTCCGAGACGACCTTCCTTTTTAGGCTACTGTTTCGGCAAAAAATGTAAATATAGGTAAAGCGTCCTCTGGTGTTTATTAGCCATTTTTCACAATATCACATTTTAAGTAAAAATAGTAAAATAAACTATGGCCGGCGTAAATTACATTTTTAAAAAATTGTATAAATACAAAACGACATATTCACAAAGGTAAAAAACCTCGCTTCTGTCTATCTTTCCGCCGTTTCTACACCATCAGCAATCCTTAAAAACAATTCACAAGTTTCCGAGACGACCTTCCTTTTTAGGCTACTGTTTCGGCAAAAAATGTAAATATAGGTAAAGCGTCCTCTGGTGTTTATTAGCCATTTTTCACAATATCACATTTTAAGTAAAAATAGTAAAATAAACTATGGCCGGCGTAAATTACATTTTTAAAAAATTGTATAAATACAAAACGACATATTCACAAAGGTAAAAAACCTCGCTTCTGTCTATCTTTCCGCCGTTTCTACACCATCAGCAATCCTTAAAAACAATTCACAAGTTTCCGAGACGACCTTCCTTTTTAGGCTACTGTTTCGGCAAAAAATGTAAATATAGGTAAAGCGTCCTCTGGTGTTTATTAGCCATTTTTCACAATATCACATTTTAAGTAAAAATAGTAAAATAAACTATGGCCGGCGTAAATTACATTTTTAAAAAATTGTATAAATACAAAACGACATATTCACAAAGGTAAAAAACCTCGCTTCTGTCTATCTTTCCGCCGTTTCTACACCATCAGCAATCCTTAAAAACAATTCACAAGTTTCCGAGACGACCTTCCTTTTTAGGCTACTGTTTCGGCAAAAAATGTAAATATAGGTAAAGCGTCCTCTGGTGTTTATTAGCCATTTTTCACAATATCACATTTTAAGTAAAAATAGTAAAATAAACTATGGCCGGCGTAAATTACATTTTTAAAAAATTGTATAAATACAAAACGACATATTCACAAAGGTAAAAAACCTCGCTTCTGTCTATCTTTCCGCCGTTTCTACACCATCAGCAATCCTTAAAAACAATTCACAAGTTTCCGAGACGACCTTCCTTTTTAGGCTACTGTTTCGGCAAAAAATGTAAATATAGGTAAAGCGTCCTCTGGTGTTTATTAGCCATTTTTCACAATATCACATTTTAAGTAAAAATAGTAAAATAAACTATGGCCGGCGTAAATTACATTTTTAAAAAATTGTATAAATACAAAACGACATATTCACAAAGGTAAAAAACCTCGCTTCTGTCTATCTTTCCGCCGTTTCTACACCATCAGCAATCCTTAAAAACAATTCACAAGTTTCCGAGACGACCTTCCTTTTTAGGCTACTGTTTCGGCAAAAAATGTAAATATAGGTAAAGCGTCCTCTGGTGTTTATTAGCCATTTTTCACAATATCACATTTTAAGTAAAAATAGTAAAATAAACTATGGCCGGCGTAAATTACATTTTTAAAAAATTGTATAAATACAAAACGACATATTCACAAAGGTAAAAAACCTCGCTTCTGTCTATCTTTCCGCCGTTTCTACACCATCAGCAATCCTTAAAAACAATTCACAAGTTTCCGAGACGACCTTCCTTTTTAGGCTACTGTTTCGGCAAAAAATGTAAATATAGGTAAAGCGTCCTCTGGTGTTTATTAGCCATTTTTCACAATATCACATTTTAAGTAAAAATAGTAAAATAAACTATGGCCGGCGTAAATTACATTTTTAAAAAATTGTATAAATACAAAACGACATATTCACAAAGGTAAAAAACCTCGCTTCTGTCTATCTTTCCGCCGTTTCTACACCATCAGCAATCCTTAAAAACAATTCACAAGTTTCCGAGACGACCTTCCTTTTTAGGCTACTGTTTCGGCAAAAAATGTAAATATAGGTAAAGCGTCCTCTGGTGTTTATTAGCCATTTTTCACAATATCACATTTTAAGTAAAAATAGTAAAATAAACTATGGCCGGCGTAAATTACATTTTTAAAAAATTGTATAAATACAAAACGACATATTCACAAAGGTAAAAAACCTCGNACGCCGGCCATAGTTTATTTTACTATTTTTACTTAAAATGTGATATTGTGAAAAATGGCTAATAAACACCAGAGGACGCTTTACCTATATTTACATTTTTTGCCGAAACAGTAGCCTAAAAAGGAAGGTCGTCTCGGAAACTTGTGAATTGTTTTTAAGGATTGCTGATGGTGTAGAAACGGCGGAAAGATAGACAGAAGCGAGGTTTTTTACCTTTGTGAATATGTCGTTTTGTATTTATACAATTTTTTAAAAAAGAGCATTACTTTTTTTTTATTATAATAAGGAATGACATAATTGATAGATATTGAATTATCCATTAATAAAATGTAATTTTAGATTTTTTTAAGTGAATTTTTTTAAAGTTTTAACTCTACTCCTGAAATCTCTAGGGAGGAATCCAACATCACCCCCATAAATACCCCACAGGTCGTAACGATACATCTTGTTTAAATATTGATAAAAGTCCATGTTACACGATGATTTATACGTTATTTTCAGGGAAGAAGTAATCATTTATCAGATATTATGTCATTGTGTACATTTTTTAGAAGATTAAAATCATTATTCGGCTTTAGAAAGTAAATTAGAAAGTGTAACTGTGTCAGATAACGATTTATAGCACCACTCCTAAAGGTGCTGATGTAGCATCTTGTTTCTAAATTATATAAATTATTTAAAGAAAATTGATGCTTCAGTTACATAAATTAAATGCTATTTATTATAAAAAAAGTGTTTCCCGAAGATCTTATTTATCATAATAATCAGGTAAATTACTAAAAATATTCGAAAGTAAGAAACAAAATGGAAATTGTTTACCCAATTTGAAGCTTAATAACTCCTGTACTTTTTGTCGAATATTTCTGAAATTTTGCTGGGATATTTATGCATTACGGTTCTTAATGCTTTTAAATTTTGGTAGTTAAAGGTCGCGCGGTTGAGGAGCTAATGGGGGTTATGTGAAGTATCTCGAGAAAATCGACGTATAGTAAGCTTTTTTTTAATTAATATATTTATATTTTTTTTTAAATTAAAGATTTTAAAAATATATAAGAAAATTAAATATTCAAAACTGGCATCATTCTTTAGGGGGAAAAACACTTTAATTGGAATTTAATTACAATCTAAAGCCGATACACTTACCGGTACACCTGACAGGTGCGCCTATTCGATATACTTGTCAAGGTATACCAGTACATGTGTACAGTACCTTAAGGTTTCTTATCTCATGCCCTTCTCTTCATCTCACTCAACAATTTATTATATAATTATTACAAGATTTATAGCACCACTCCTAAATATCTTTAATTAAATATCTTTAATTAAAAATATAAATATACAGTATATAAACATTACAATATTAATAAATTTAATTAACTTGTGAGATAGAGAAGGAAGAAAACTGAAGAAATATTCATATATAAGTTATTGTCTATCAAGTTCACTAAGATTGCTTGATATGAGTTAACTTTAAATTGAATCTTTTGAAAAATTTAGTGAGCAATCGTAAAGATAAGATAAAAAAACAGAGGTAAATAACGTAAAAACAAACGTTAATCAGCTAATTTTATAAAATATTGTGAACTTTTATCATCTGTATCTGACTGGAAATTGTAACTGTCCTGCTGAAAACATTCGAGATTAGTTCAACGTCAGCTTATTTCTATGGAATTTTTGATTTATTTGATATAAAAGTAATAATCAGACTAATAAAAATACACTTTTCTTCGTTATTTAACTTACTACAAGCATTTTATTATAGCTTACGTTATAATCTTGTGAGAAACTGTCTCTAATGAGGCACGCGTGTCTAATATATTTCCTACAATCGCTAAAAACAGCATTGATTTTCCTATAAAATAAATCAAATACTTTAATATATTTTAAAAGTTTTAACAGGGCATCACTTTTATTCGATTCAATCATGATGCCTCATACTTGTAATTTAATTGATTTTGGGAGATTGTTTAAACTCTGAAACGTTCGAAATACGAAGTATCACTGTATTATTATTCGTAGTAAACGTAAAATTTCATATAAAAATTGTATTTTACTATAAAAAATAATAATCTATACCAAAATATAAATACAATAATTTATTGGACTGTAATTTGAAAAAATTGTACAATTCAAAAGATTTTTTTCCAGAAAGGAGTTGCATAAATGACCTGCATAACAGTTGTTATCAGGAAGAGTATGATGTACAGGGGCAATACACTACTAATTTGAGGTGGAGAGCATATATTATAAATTAAATTAATTAAAAATATGATTAAAAATTGCATCCAGGAATTTTTTTCTATTAAATGTTAATTTCAGTACAAATAATATAACAATAAGTAGGTTAAAACATGAAAAAGCATAATTAACGAACATACTTTAAAAGAATTAAAAATAAATTAAATTTCTTATAATTATATCAAAGAAACTTCTTTGTTCAACAGTAAGTTTTTTAAGTTACATTTCTTTACTTCAAATATGAGAAAGTTCAAGAGGGATACTTCAGATAATTGTCAATAAAACTATCAAAACTTTAAGAATTTCATTGTTATTGCCTGAAGAAATACGATTCTTATTTTTTGTATTAATATTTTTAAGCACAAGCGAAGAAAAGACAAAGTTATACACAAGTTAATTACAAGTTAACAACAAGTTTAGTAACGTCACAGTTTTTCAGTATTCCAATGAAGAGGTTAAAGAAACTACAGCAAAACTTCATAACAGGTACCGTGTGATACCGGTTTACACAGGTTTTACTGTATTTTAATGAAATATGAAAAATAACAAAATAAAAGTTAATATAAATATATAAAATAAATGAGCAATTATTTATTATGACATCGCCGCAATGTTCTCAATTATTCAGTAATGTCTTACCCCTGTACATCATACTTTTCCTGTTAGCAACAGAGTCTATCTAACTGAATTCAAGAGAAAATATTTGAATTGAAACCACGTAATTTCTTGTTTGCGTTAGAAGTTACCATTTAGTTAATCTGAGCCTTCTGTTGCTTATCTTTCCATCTTTCTCTTGAATTTGATCTATCTAACTTCTTTCTCGAGATTAGGAAAGGACAGATAGAGAGATTAACGACAGTAGAAATGTATAGGTCTACAATTTTTTCAAATTGCAACCCAATAATAAATTTAAAATTCATAACATTTGATACCCAAAAAAGCCTATAGCTTTGCTTCAAAGAACCGAGATATTATGGAAAGAATACCACAATTTTCACATATATAATTACACATTTTCGTGCTTCAAATAATATAACAGAACTTATTTTATTTTTCGTATAAATAAATTTAGAAAAAAGAAACGATCAAACAATTCTTATAGATATAATCGATCTCCTACTTCTGATACCATTGTTCTGTAAATAAGTTACTTTAATCATTCGCAAATTGGACAAAATAACTAGATGTTTATATCATTATTGTTTACAGATCAATGGTTTGGTCAACTAACCATTATTGATTAGCCAGCATAGCATGTAATAGCTTCTCCGATAACTATAGCTTATCACCCAACTTGTCAGGAATTGTGTTTTTATAACTGTTATTTTTTTATCTTTAAAATATTAAATAATTTAATTTAATTATTTATTTAAAGTTCTTAGAAGCTAACAAGAGCATCCTACTCTATGAAAATTATCGTTGAATGTGATTAGAGAAAATTACAGACAATTGATAGGAATGATTACAAGGATTTTATCTTCAATATCATACCACATTCGTGCAATTGTTTTTAATCTTCCCATTTGAGCAATTTGTTCTTTGCTTTCTGCATCTTCGAACATTTTTATGCACTCTTTCTGCAAATAATTACAACGTGTGTATTCGAGCAACTTGTAGCTTCCTTTGCGAAATATTTCCGCTAAACTCCGTAACAAAGTGTAAAATTTAAATATATAATTAGAGTACAGAAAACATTACATTGTGTAGAGTGAGGCAAAAGCTTTAAACGTTTATAACTCAGTAAATTTTGATCCTTGAATAGAAACTTGAGTGTTTTCGTGGAAACTGCATGTTAACAAAATGCAGTTTCCACGAAAACACTCAATTTTCTATTGTAGTATAAACATTTTATACGAAGTTTAGATACGATTTCCTCCATGAAGTAATGCATTTACAGAGTGGCTCCAAATAAAAAGCGGAATGCACATAGTAACGAGCAATTATTTATTGTGACGATATCACAATAAATAATTGCTCACTCAGCATTAATAAATTGCAACCCAGCATTGTGCCAATTTCACTTTGCTAGGTTGCAATTTTTTGCCACAATGCTCTCAATTTTTAATACTGTCTTGCCCCTGTACATCATACTTTTCCTTTTGATAATGGAGTCATGCAGGAAATCCCTCTAACTCCGTTGAAAAATAATTTTAAATTGAAAAATAACGTATATAATAGTTAATCGTGACCCCTACTCCTAAGCTTGTCTTAACTTTCATCTTAACTAACTACGTTCCCGAGATTAAGGAAGAACAGACAGACAAGTATCCAGTGGAAATTTATAAATCTACAATTTTTGAAAATTGCAGCCTAACAATTGAGTTGAAAAGGAAACTGAATTACCCATTTGAACAGATAAGAATAAAATTGATTGCGATATAAATTCTTAAAATGATGCCCAACTTTTAGATCAACCCTAGTTAACAATGGAATAAAAATTAAATACATTTATATAATTTTTTTATTTAATAAAATCGAAAAATATTATATAGTTAACGTTAAAGTATACAGTATATTTACTAGCAGTTTAATAATTTTTTAAAAATTTTTATTGATTAAATTCTTTAGTTTTGAAAGTTGATGTAGGAAACAATTTTACGGTTTTGATTAAAATACTTAAGTGAGTATATTTATAAAGTTTTCTTAATTAATATAGATTGACAGAAAGAAATTTTCTAAGCATTAAAGTAATGTTTTGTCAATTTTTGAATATGGTATTTTTTAATACACCTCATTTTTTTTTTCACTTGCCTTCACGATATAAACAGTATGGACGTTAAACCATTAAAATCCAATTAATTAAATTTAAATGATGAAGAAAAGATTGATGAGGAATTTGTAATATAAGCAAAATAAAAATTCATGTTGGCTACTGAACATATTGTTTATTCTTTATTAAAATCTATTTGAAAAATAATATATTTATAAAAGTTTAAATTAAATTTTTAATACGATAAAACTTGTGTAAACCGGACTCGCATATTTTTTTACTGGTTTTGAACTGGTTTTGCTATATATTAAATTTAATTGTTTAAATAAGTTACATTTTTAATTTCTTTTAATCAATTTATATAAGTCTACAGAATCAAACAGCAATGCATTTATACGTTTAGATACTGATATGTTATTAGTGTGAGAGTCTATTGAAGGATCTAGGAGAGATAAGAAGGAGGAGAGAAAATTCCTGTAGGGATTGAATAGGATTCTTGAAATATGGCCGCATAACATGTGGGCGTTCTGCCGAGAGGGATGCCTCAAGAGAAGATTTATATAGAAAATTGACCCTTATTTAGGTGTTAGACACATGAAAAAATCCGGAAAACTCCACGTCGCCAGCATGTTGGTGAGGGTAAATTTACGTCCAGTGTTCTGATTTTTGTGTTTGTGTGTGGGTGTGTGTTATCCACTCAGTCACAGGTGGGCACAAAGTCTCAGTAGGATACTGAACAGATAGAATATAAATGAAAAAAATTTGAAAAATAAATATATTTGTTGAGGAATTATTTTTTTTTTATAAAACTCATTCTTACACTTAAAAATTAAGCTTTTTGCCATTTTATAAAAATAAAATTGTTTTTTAATAAAATACGATAACAGATGGCGTCACTAAATGTTACCAGGAAAGTTAAGCAACTCGTTGCTGGGTTTTTTCATAAATATATTAAATATTTACTCATTTATTTACATTCCTCGAATAGCAAAATTAAAAAAAAATCATGTTTGAATGGAAGGTTACTTTCAAAATTATGCCACATAATAAGGTTATTTTTTCTGTTTTACTTCACGACTGGATGGGCATCTTTAACTTCACTCTTTATCTTAAGATGCTACAGTGTCTACCTATGAACCCAGTTGTGAAGTAAAAAAAGAATTAAAATAAGACACGGTTTCGAAATAAGTCAAACATAATAAGTTATTTTCAAGATTGAAAATCATCAGATACTTTCTTTTTTCTCATCATTTTCGTTTTCATATTCTGGAAATACTTCTTGCTTCTTAAGTTTATATGTTTGAACTTCTCGACTGTTATCAAAACTTCAAGCACTCGCAATAGTTAACATCTGTGAAGTTGGTCAATATTACTTTCATCACTATTGTAGTTATCGAGAGAACTCGAATCACTATTTGGCTGTAAAGTTACTATCAGATAATTTCACTCTCTCGCAGTTTTTACCTTTATTTCTTCGTGTCTACTCTTATCTTTTATCGCTACCAGCATCAATTTTTTCCTTGCTTTTTCCTTCTTTCTTGTCTATTGTTAGTTTTTTTANTTTTTACCTTTGTGAATATGTCGTTTTGTATTTATACAATTTTTTAAAAATGTAATTTACGCCGGCCATAGTTTATTTTACTATTTTTACTTAAAATGTGATATTGTGAAAAATGGCTAATAAACACCAGAGGACGCTTTACCTATATTTACATTTTTTGCCGAAACAGTAGCCTAAAAAGGAAGGTCGTCTCGGAAACTTGTGAATTGTTTTTAAGGATTGCTGATGGTGTAGAAACGGCGGAAAGATAGACAGAAGCGAGGTTTTTTACCTTTGTGAATATGTCGTTTTGTATTTATACAATTTTTTAAAAATGTAATTTACGCCGGCCATAGTTTATTTTACTATTTTTACTTAAAATGTGATATTGTGAAAAATGGCTAATAAACACCAGAGGACGCTTTACCTATATTTACATTTTTTGCCGAAACAGTAGCCTAAAAAGGAAGGTCGTCTCGGAAACTTGTGAATTGTTTTTAAGGATTGCTGATGGTGTAGAAACGGCGGAAAGATAGACAGAAGCGAGGTTTTTTACCTTTGTGAATATGTCGTTTTGTATTTATACAATTTTTTAAAAATGTAATTTACGCCGGCCATAGTTTATTTTACTATTTTTACTTAAAATGTGATATTGTGAAAAATGGCTAATAAACACCAGAGGACGCTTTACCTATATTTACATTTTTTGCCGAAACAGTAGCCTAAAAAGGAAGGTCGTCTCGGAAACTTGTGAATTGTTTTTAAGGATTGCTGATGGTGTAGAAACGGCGGAAAGATAGACAGAAGCGAGGTTTTTTACCTTTGTGAATATGTCGTTTTGTATTTATACAATTTTTTAAAAATGTAATTTACGCCGGCCATAGTTTATTTTACTATTTTTACTTAAAATGTGATATTGTGAAAAATGGCTAATAAACACCAGAGGACGCTTTACCTATATTTACATTTTTTGCCGAAACAGTAGCCTAAAAAGGAAGGTCGTCTCGGAAACTTGTGAATTGTTTTTAAGGATTGCTGATGGTGTAGAAACGGCGGAAAGATAGACAGAAGCGAGGTTTTTTACCTTTGTGAATATGTCGTTTTGTATTTATACAATTTTTTAAAAAAGAGCATTACTTTTTTTTTATTATAATAAGGAATGACATAATTGATAGATATTGAATTATCCATTAATAAAATGTAATTTTAGATTTTTTTAAGTGAATTTTTTTAAAGTTTTAACTCTACTCCTGAAATCTCTAGGGAGGAATCCAACATCACCCCCATAAATACCCCACAGGTCGTAACGATACATCTTGTTTAAATATTGATAAAAGTCCATGTTACACGATGATTTATACGTTATTTTCAGGGAAGAAGTAATCATTTATCAGATATTATGTCATTGTGTACATTTTTTAGAAGATTAAAATCATTATTCGGCTTTAGAAAGTAAATTAGAAAGTGTAACTGTGTCAGATAACGATTTATAGCACCACTCCTAAAGGTGCTGATGTAGCATCTTGTTTCTAAATTATATAAATTATTTAAAGAAAATTGATGCTTCAGTTACATAAATTAAATGCTATTTATTATAAAAAAAGTGTTTCCCGAAGATCTTATTTATCATAATAATCAGGTAAATTACTAAAAATATTCGAAAGTAAGAAACAAAATGGAAATTGTTTACCCAATTTGAAGCTTAATAACTCCTGTACTTTTTGTCGAATATTTCTGAAATTTTGCTGGGATATTTATGCATTACGGTTCTTAATGCTTTTAAATTTTGGTAGTTAAAGGTCGCGCGGTTGAGGAGCTAATGGGGGTTATGTGAAGTATCTCGAGAAAATCGACGTATAGTAAGCTTTTTTTTAATTATATATTTATATATTTTTTTAAATTAACTTTTAAATACGAAGATCTCTTGCAGTTGACTTGATGGTGGTGTTAGGTCAAGGTTTTTGCTTTTTTAAAGTAGAAAATCGTTTTATTTTTTGGATTAAATAGCGTTGTGTTACATAAAATAAAAGAAGAGAAAAGGTCCCAGGTGGTTTTGTGTTTTCTTGACAAGAAAATAGAAAATTGTCTTAGAAAAATATTGCATAGAAGAACAGAAAAATGAGTTCTTTATAGTGATAAGATGGAGAATTGTTTCATCACATTTTCAATTTAAAATAGAAAAAAAAAGTTAAATTTTTTAATGTATAAGAACTATTTTATTTTAAAATAACAAAAGCATTTTAATTGTTTTTTGCTTTCTTTTCATACTTACATGTATTATTTTTATTATTACACAAAATAAATTTGATTTTTTATACCTCACTGTACTTTTGTGACTGTTATACACAAAGGGAAATTATGACGTTTTTGGACTCAGGATATCTTGAAACGTCGAAAAATGTACAAAAAATATGGGGTTTTTTTCTGTATGTATGGATGTAGTGTGTGTATTAGGAACACAACTTTATTCCCGCATTTTGAAGCTTAATAACTCCTGTACCTTTTGTCGAAATTTTATAAAATTTTGTAGGAAGATTTATCAATAAGGGTGAAATACTTCTGGAAATTTTCAGGGAAATCGGGCTATTGGTTTGAGAGATATGGCTTCACTCTTTTAATGTCTCCCGTATCAATCTGAAGACTTAAAGATAATGGTATCAATTATTAGGGATGAAAACAAATAAAGAATGCCAGGAAAGTCAGCAGCAACGTTGCCAGCATTTTATATCAGAAAATGATAATTGTTTTATTAAATTCAAATACAATAATTTACATTTTTGCACTAAATTATTACATAAAATAATTTAGTATAATTCAAAATTAAATAATCAAACCTCTGAACAATGGACACTAACGTGATGGTTGTTTTGGGGGTTATTTTCATTCCACCTTTACGAAAAATGGTCGCCAGTTACAGGTGGTTATTATTAGAAGTTGAATGTATATTTGTTTTGCATTTTAATAAGAAATTGAATTTAATATAGTAATTTTAGTAGTGGAAAATATAAATTCCTTTAATATATATGCAGTAAATAAATTTATTTTCTCCAGATAATCCTGTAACTTGGGAAAAATTCAATTTGTCAATTAAGTTTTATATAAATTCTTCTTAATTTTAATAGAAAGATAGGAAATTTATAATATAACAGATATTTTATTATGTTTATTTTAATTACAGTGAATAAACTAAATGGATTTTCTGTATATTTAAGCTGACAGCACTTAATGCATAGGCTTACAATTTAAATATTACAACCTAACAAATAAATTAATTACGACATTAACTGATTTTTGGGCCACCCAACATTTATATTATCAATAGTTACGTCTTATAATTTTAAGATTTAAATGAAACAATTAATAATTTCCTAAATTAAAATGAAACATTGAGCAATTTTGCCTATGTTAAACAATAGTTTAATAATAAATCTATTATATACAATTGACTTTATTCTTCTTTAGTTTATTAGAAATTTAACAATATCAAGTTTTTATAAGAAGACGATTCATGATGATATCATATTCCATCAAATAAACTATCGTATGTCTAGGAAACCATATGTCATTGGCAATAAGATTGAATGTAATTCAAAACCCCTTCAAGAAGTAAGAACTTCTTTTTCTTCTTCAAAATTTATGTTTATAATTCCTCGAATATCAGATATTGCCACCGTCAAGTGGAACGTTTTTGATGAGTAAAAATAAAAAATAAAATAAAAATATTATACTTTAGAAAGATATTTTGAATAAAATATCTCTCTAAAGTATCAATTTTGACTTCTCTAAAAAGAAGTCAAAATTCCAATTCTAGTCTAAATCTCCAACAACGGACTGTTGTCCGTTGTTGGAGGTTTAGACTAGAATTGGAATATTTGACTTCTAGCCAGGCAGAAAAATGTGAAATGGCGTAGCGTAGATGTACATATTTTATTATTTTAGTAAATTTTTATCTTGTTTTACTGTTATAATTGTATTTTTAAGTATACTGTAAAAAGAGAAATGTTTTAAACAATTTTACATATTGAAGCGAAGAAGAAATTCCAAATAAAAGTCGAATTTTTTATGTGATTTGTGGGAAAAGTATATAGTGAAGATACTAATGATTTTTTTTTTCTAATTGTAACTTCTACAAATATATATTCTAAGTACATTTTCGTCTACAGTCTTTTAATGTTTAGTTTAGAAGTAAGCTGCCTATACAAATTTTTAGTATAGAAGTAATATAGAAGTCTGCATTTCTTCACTTAATTTCACACATTAATTTCAGATTAATAAACTTTATTTCATAACGTTTATAATTATAGGCCTATATTCCTATAATGAAAACTACCAGTAGCCGAGTGTTAACACTACGAAACACCTGACCAGCAGTCTGGTTGCGTGGAGTATTCCGGGTTTTCTTTACGTGTCTAACACCTAAATAGGAACAAGTTTCCAATGAGTAGGCCTTCAGTGGCACTTCCTTTGGCATATTGACTAAGTGTTGCGTGGCTTACCTACCCATTAACCAAACAACCCTACAGTGAAATCTTTATATAATTACAACAACTGTGTAAGCATTAATTTTCATACACTCTCATTCTCCGTATGTACTCAGTATCCATACCCTAATATTCCACCTCTTTTTTATCATTTTTCTCAACTTCCACATTATCTGTTTCTTTAGCCTAGATTTATTATTACGGTGTAGAACAGGTTCTACACCGTAATAATAAATTAGCACTTTTAAAAATTATTATTAATTCTAACAACAAAGTAATCTTGAAGCACAATGCCATTGACAAATATTTTTGTTTCTAGGTTTGCTTGAAGGCTAACTTTTATCTCGATAGTTTGCTTTTTCTTTATAGTTTTGTGTTAGCTGCCAAACACACCATTTAATAAAAAAATATTAAATTTAGCTTACGGCATACGTACTCAACTTTACTAAAAGTGCTTCTAGTGTTAAAAATCCATTGAAAAATTCGGCTTGAAGGCATTTCAACTGTATATTTTATAATAGACTACTTTTTAACGTCAGTTTTATCAGCTTCAAATACTAAATTTTCAAATGAAAACTTGAAAATTAACAAATAAACAAGTAGAATTTTTATACGTATCGTCGATCCTGTTGTTATGGTATGTATATTGTAGTTGAATGCATCAAATTTTAGAGAGTAAAAAGTTGTTTTGTAAGGGGGATAGTTCTAAAGTTGTAAAATAGTTATAGCTAATAATTATGATGGCAAATTCTGTAGTAAATTGTCATTTATAAAAAAATGTACTTATTATTACAGCAATTTCTTCAGTTTACTTTTGAGTAACTTGTGTACATGAAGACAGATAAAGAAAGCTTAAAGGCAGATGGACCTGATTAATTGTACGAAAACGTCTGGTATAGATCGAAAGTTACTTGATTTTAAGTCAAAATTTTTCTCCAGAATATAGATGACAGGCATGACTCTGTTGTTATCAGGAAAAGTATGGAGTACAGGGACAATTAACAAATAAATAAGTACAATTTCATACATATTTTCGATCCTATTGTTATGTTGTTACTACTTGCAACACACTACAAATTTGAGATGGAGAGCATATATTTTAAATTAAGAATATGATTAAAAATTGCAGCCCGGCATTGTGACGATGTCACAGTAAATATATTAATTATCATCTATTGTTTATAGACTGATATTTAACAATTTCAACAAAAAGTTTCAAGTAGAAGGAAAAATATGATGTATTTAAATGTAACTGATCATAAGTGGGATTGTTATTGTGTTATGGATTATTGTAGATTGCATTGAGATGGATCGATCAACATCATCCTCATCTATAATGCTAATGCCTAACATTTCTTTATTCTAGTTTAATCAATCATTGG